GATTAATTTTAAAAAATTAATTAAATTTCGGCATGATCTTAGCCGACAACAAATTAAAAATTGATCAATAAAACCAAATTAGGGGTGTTTTCCGAAGGAAATCGTTTGCACATTACGAATTTCATGTTTTCGTCGTTTGTACATTGATTGTTAATGAGTTAAATCCATTTGAAGAATCATGGTTTAAGTTGCGCATCCCTATATTATCGATTTCTGCGCTTTGTTCTGTGTCTAAATGGGTTTTCGCAGATCCTATCACTGCTACTCGTTAATGTATATAGGGGGCAGTGCGGTAAAATGGAGGCTCATGACTTTTTTCAAATGTTTATAAATTAGGAACAAATTGAAAAATTGAGCTCCATCTAAGAGATTCATAAAGGAGAAGGATTTTACTCTCAATTGAAGCAAAATCAAATTTTTATTTCCTCAAAATTATGGTGAATACATTTCCATACGATTAATTCGAATGTACGGACATTCCCTAATAATGCTTTTCAATAATACTCCACTCCAAAAATGACTCTCCACTGCACTCCGAAATGAACATGGTGGCTAAAAATGAATTGTCCCCTCTCACCGCGGCCGCTCTCACCTGACTTGTTATGACGTAAATGCGCGCGATATTTCTTTCAATGAAAGTTTGATGAAGAATCCACATTTCAATAGTACAATTTCTGTTAGATTTAATGTTTATACTCGTAAAGCAAAGAATAATGCAATAAAAACCCATTTAAACACAGAACAATGCGCAGAAGTCGATAGTATAGGGCAGGGCCCGGCAACCTGGGCTCATTAGGCTCACGCGGCTCCCAAGCTTCGTTAGTCAGAGCTGGGAGAGGGGCCTCATCCACTTAACAAAACTACCTGCTCTAATTCGATATCTCTCTCTGCTTGAGCTCTTGTTCGACGCCACCGGCAGAGGTCCACCGTGGGATCGAGCGGGAATTTTGATTTTCCATCAATTTGAATTATAAATATAATTTTTTTAATTCGAAATAGGGGTGGGCAACCTCAGGTAGGCTCGGAGCTGTAACCATAAAATTATTAAGGTTCCAATTGTAAGGGACCTAACGTGATTACAAGGGTTGTCGTATAATTGTGTGGTAGGCCCTACCATCGATCGATGGCGCACGCGCGTAATTGAAATGTGAGGGCAAAATGGGTTGAATTTGTATACACGTGTTTGGACATTTTCTGTTTCATAAAAAAAAAATGGAATTAAAAGATGATGATTTAGATTCAATATTCATAAGTGTAAATGAATGTGGAATGCTCATGAACTTGAGAAAGTAATATTTCATCGTCAATTAAAGATTGTGAGAAATTTGTTCATTAAAATTTGGCATCGAGAGCGGCAAATATAGAAATGAAAAATTTGAAAGTGTATGTCAATTCAGGTCTATTAACAACATGGTTATATTTAGTGATTGTTTCAAAAACAATATTTCAATTATAATTTCAAAATTACTTCAAAAATCTATGAAAGGTACGAAGTCCTCGTTTATAAAGATGAATAAAAATAACCAATAACCAATCAGAAGGATAATAACAAGAAAAACAATAAATGAAAAAATATTTCCATTAGAGAGACAGAAAATTTTTCTATTTCACTTTTACTACCACCAAGTTTCTGCCGAATATCCCCACTACTCTCGCCTACGTGCAGGGCATTATGGGCCCGAAGGGGGTGCAGCCATAAACTTTATGGCTTGGGACAATTTTCCCTAATGGAGGTTGGGAGCTGGAGTAGATCCAAGAGCTGAGGTTGCCCACCTCTGCCCTATACTATCGACCTCTGCGCATTGTTCTGTGTTTAAGCTGATTCCCAATCGTTTGAGTATATATTCGCAAGACCATTTTTCCCCAATATGTTTAATCATTTTCGAATTTGTTAACAAAAAAGGAACAGTGGAAGAAAAAAAGTTTTGAGAGTTTTGAAATCTCGACGATTCAGCTGATTCCCAATCGTTTGAGTATATATTCGCAAGATAATTTTCCCAAATTTTTTTAATAATTATTGAATTTGTTGACAAAAATAGAACCGTTGAAAAAAAAAACGTTCCGAGGGACCAGTAAATCTCGACGTTTCCATTGATTCGCAATCGTTTGAGTATATATTCACGAGACATTTTTTCCCCAATTTGTTGAACAATTTTTCGAATTTACAAAAGTGAATTCATTTCTTTTATCCCGTTCATCGATTGTTTCTCCATCATACCCCCACTCCGCTCGAAATGGGATGTTTTCTTTCGTCACGATTTCCTCGAATTATCGACACTCTCGCGTTTGCTGGTTTTTCCGAATTATCGACACTCTCGGGCTCGCGCTCTGCCTTATCTATACCCACGCCCTCCGAAAATTACCGACACTCTTGCCTTCGCGACCTGTTTGATTCAACGGTACACCCGCAAAATTAGTTCGGCTAGGGCGGCCAGACAATTTCGCGGTTGAAGCCTTGCCATTGGCGTTAGCAATCTCCCCTATAATCTCTGGTAAGGAGGCCGAACTATGAAGAATAGAGTAAGGAGGCCGAACACTAGTGGGAGAATGCTCTAAATGTGTGACACAGAGGGGTGAAGGAATGTAGTTCCTCAAGATAGCGCCGTATAGCGCTGACGTCGCTCCGGTCTTACATGCACATAGTAGATGTTTCATGTATTGGTGGCTTTGTTGGGATTTTGTAGCAGTATGTAATTAGCCGCAAATTATCAATAATTACAAAAACGAACTCATACAATCGATTGTAAATCGCTCGTAGGTGATTGTCAAAAAGGTCATAATGTTTAAGAGTAGATAGTTTTTTTTATAAAAAATAAAAAACTTATGACCCATGTAGTTAGCCGCATTTTTTTTCTAATCACTCTTAAATGATTTTTTTTATTGTAATCGTTTGCAATTCGTTTGTAAATACTATATTCATTTGAATCGACGTTTAAGAGTCATTAGTTTGGAAATTATCAGCAATAAACGTGATTGCAAAATCGCGTGGAGGGGATAAGACTTTGCAAGTATGACGGCGCATGCGCAACTATTCAGAGGATTTTTCTGTTATACGTTAAAAAATAGATTAATGTCTTTCTCACTTTAATTTTGAAAGATTTCACTACGACTGTCTTTTAATTGAAAATTGAGTGACACATCGAAACCATTGTACTTTTTGTAAGTACATTAATAATTATAATAACTTGTTCACTAATGGGTGACATTTGGAGAACAATTATCGTTTGAGTAATCCCTGGTTATTCCCACCCAGGCTGAATATGGGCTGACAGAACCCTATAACATTTGTCATGAGACATTAGTTTAACACTTCTGTTTAACAAAAAAACGTAAATATTGAATTCAAGGTTTTTGCCAAACCCTAACTGGGTTTATGAAATTAACAGCATAAGCTGTAAGCTTGGGTGGGAATAACCAGGGATTACTCAAACGATAATTGTTCTCCAAATGTCACCCATTAGTGAACGGGTTATTATAATTATTAATGTACTTACAAAAAATACAATGGTTTCGATGTGTCACTCAATGTTCAATTAAAAGACAGCCGTAGTGAAATGTTTCAAAATTAAAGTGAGAAAGACATTAATCTATTTTTGAACGTATAACAGAAAAATCCTCTGAATAGTTGCGCATGCGCCGTCATACTTGCAAAGTCTTATCCCCTCCACGCAATTTCGCAATCACGGTTATTGCTGATAATTTCTAGACTAATGACTCTTAAACGTCGATTCAAATGAATATAGTATTTACAAACGAATTGCAAACGATTACAATTAAAAAAAATCATTTAAGAGTGATTAGAAAAAAAATGCGGCTAATTACATGGGTCATAAGTTTTTTATTTTTAATAAAAAAAACTATCTACTCTTAAACATTATGACCTTTTTTACAATCACCTGCGAACGATTTACAATCGATTGTATGAGTTCGTTTTTGTAATTGTTGATAATTTGCGGCTAATTACATACTGCTTGATTTTGTCAGTATTTTTAGCAACTCGACCGATTACCTGTTCTTTTTTTTTTCTCAAAAGAAAATTCTAAAAACAAGACAGATTATGTAGTAACTCGCCTTCTTCTGTACTGCAATTCCTAGCAGCTCATGTGGAAAAATGAACATTAATACAAACCTGATGTGGAAATTTAAATAAACTTTTACTACGCACTCCACCCGATTTATTGTGTCTTTTATCATTTGCTGCTCCTGATTTACATCCGAGAAATGTACACACCCTCCTCATCTTTGTTCTCACCAATAACTTTCGACTATTTTAGCGTGAATAAAAAAACATCTAATCGGCCAATTTAACAATAATAACGCTGCGTGAATATAATTTTCAAATCACAACAAAGCCATCAATACATGAAACACCTATTATGTGCATGTGAGACCCGAGCAAAGTCAGCGCTATACGGCGCTATCTAGAGGAACTACATTCCTTCACCCCTCTGTGTCACACATTTAGAACATTCTCCCACTACTGTTCGGCCTCCTTACTCTATTCTTCATGATCCGGGCCTTAATCAATCCTCTTTGGCTTCACCATTCCTACATACCTTAGTCGCTAGTGCCGTTTCAGGCGTTGTGTTGACCGCCGAAGTTTTTAAAAATTAATTAAATATTCTATCAAATATACTACCAACTTGGATGGAACATTGAACCTCAATCGATCAATGTTCAACCAAGTTTTTTTTTTCAATTAAAATAGTTCACCTTGGTTCTTTATCTGGTTTCCTTTATTTTTGTCACTTAGAAAATTATTTAAAACGTTAACTTGTGAGAATTTTTATCGAAAACTTTAGTTCTTGAATTGTGAAGAGGTATATATGCCTATGACACTATAATTTCAAAGTTAGCCAGTAAATCTGTTTCATCGATGCACATAGTAAATTCACATCGATTTTAATGACAGTTAAGATTCCTCATATTTCAATGAAATTCCTGCAGAATTTTGCTGACAGAACTAATTTTTTTATATGTAGTAATCTGAGAGATGTTATGTGCCTTCTTTTTAACTATTCATAACGAATATTGCATTAATTTTTAAGTTTAATTTAAATTTGCAAGAAAAAATAACCCCAAAATCATGTCGAGTTCGGTTAACGAGGATATTGAGGATTTGGACAAACTGGAGACGGAGTTGGGGATGAATTTTGAAGCTTGGAAGTTGCACATGTCAAAACTGATGAAAGATAACGAAAAATATCGACAAGAGAATCATTCACTCCAGTGTAAACTCGAAATTAGCTCGACGATGCAGCAGGAGATGCATGAGCTGCAGGAGGTTCTTGAGAATGCAGCCAATGAGCTTCAGAAACTTACTGATAAGCAAATCCACGATCTCCAAGAGAAGTAAGTAATAGTTGGAAAAAAATTACTATTTTTATTTTAATCATTCTTTCACCCTTTTTATAATTAAATGGAAAATTTTCATTTTTCATTGAAAATACATTTAAATACAATTAAGAATATTCGGTTTCCAGAATAGAAATATTATAATATTCGATTTTGTCTTCAATTCCATTCTCTAACAAACAAACATATTTAATGTATTTTTTTCTCTTGAATATGTATTCTTTCTTGAATATTGCAGACACATGAAACAAAAAAATGATTTGCTATCTCGTCTATCGGAAATGGAAACAAAAAACTCATTACAATCCGAAGAGATTGAGAAATTACAAAGGGAAATACAAGAACTCAACAAAACATTACAATCAATTCAAAATGAGACACCGGTAATGGTCGAAGAAGACTTTGCTTTGCAAGAGGAAATGGCAAATCTAGTTTCTCAATTACTCCAGAAAGATCACAACATACAACTGATGGGAAAGTCTCTGGAGGACTTTACCAATGAGAATTCACAGCTGAAAGAGATCTTGAAAGAAACGAAACAGAATTTACACGAGAAGAAAGAGCAACTGGAAAATACTCGGCATGAGTTGATGGGGTTGAAGAGGGAACTTGCTGAAACCAAGCAGAAACCACCGAGTGAAGAATCCAAAGGTTCGTTACATTAAAAGAATATATCTTTTTTATTACTTTCCGAATATTTCAAGTGTGAATAGCTTTATAGAATTCAAATGGAATGTTTTATATATTTTATAATCTTAATTAAATCCTCGAATCAATCCAATTGAGAACACAATTGGAGTGTGAAAGAGTGAATACAGAATAATTTTAGAATAATAATGTCCGTTGACGACAGTACTAAGAATGATTATATAAGCTTCAAAAGAAGAAAATGATCTCGGAAAAAAACTGCTAATTTAGTAAACATAATAGATTTATTTAAAAAGTATTTGTGGAAGTGGCAATCTAGATAAAAATGTCAAGAGACGTTGTTCGTAATATACCATCAAATTGATTCATTCCACAAAAAAATGTAAAATATTTGTCTAAATCACTTTTATTTTGTTCCCATTCCTAGGTAATTCTCTCTTTGCAGAGGTAGAGGATCGTCGTAAAAAAATGCTGGATCAGATGTTGGTGTTGAGAAAGAGCTATCACGAGGCGAAACGCGTCGTTGCAATCAAGGACGCAGAGATTCGCTCCTTGAAAATCGATAAATCAGCTTTAATGCGTAAGTGGGAGGATGACAAAGTGGATTCTCACTATCGAGACACTAAGCTCATGGAGAAGTACAAGGAGAGAATTGCAGAGCTAGAACAAAAGTTACAAACCGAAAAAAATAAGAGCAATCAATTGGAAAATCAGATAAACCCCACTGATCAAAATTTCAGCTTCTTCCAATCAATGCTAGGAACAAAGAAAAATAAAATAGATGAATTGGAATCAAAACTGGAAAACGTTTCCATCCAGGCAGTTCTAGAGGAGGAGATGAAGCATAAATTGAGTAGACAACTAAGGTACTGGCGTTGTAAAGCAATAGCCAGTGATGCCCAACTTGAGGCCATTAAGAGTCGTCTAGAGATTGATCCCCAATTTAACACCACCGATGTCCTGAAAATCCTCCAGCAGACTGTAGAAAAGGAATTAGATCTCGAGAATACTCTCGACCCACCTATACCACCCCCCAAAGTAATTGAGGAAAGTGTCATAACATTGGAACAATTGATGAAAGTACCAAACTGCTCAGCAAAAGTTTCACCATCAACTTACGATAATTCATCACTTAATAGCTCGAGTGAGGACTTTGGAAACTCACTATGTTTTGATGGTTCTAGTGTTAAGAGAGAATCAATTATGTTCAACGTACGAGAGGTAGGAAGCAGTTTCAAGGAAATACAAAAAGATCCAATGAGCTCGATCATGAAGACTGAAAGAAAATGTGAGGATTACTGTAAAGAAGAGATAGAAGAGTTAGAAGTCGATAAGAAAATGCAACAAGAAGCTACAAAAATAATACCAAGAAGCCCAAAATGTTATGAATCTAATAAGGAGAACGAAACTGATAGAACTCACAATGGAAATACCCTTAAATTAAAGTCTGCCTTTGCCCACGGAACTGCGAATCTTCTCGCCTCCACAAACGAGCCTAAGAGGGAGAAAAAAACATTGAAGTTTGCTGATGATACTGTGGACCCACCTCCGAGGACCCTCAAGAGAGAAGTTACACCGAAATATCCTATTGTTTTCGTGTCGAACAAATTCATGCATCCCTGAACAAGTAATGGTTGTTCGACTATTATGATAAATCATCCCTTAAGTGTTTATTTCTTTTGATAATGTTAAGGTGTGCTGAATTGAATTATCGTTTTGTAAAGAATGTTTTTACCATTTTCTTGAAACACTAGGGCTAATAAATATTTTCATTATTATCATTGTATGTCTTTTAAGCCAGCTTTTTACCAAACGTTAAAAGGAAATAATTACCCTGGCGAGTAAGGTGCCCCGTATTTACGGGGCAGTTACGGGGCAGACATGGGGCAGCTATTTACGGGTTCAAAAGGTATAGAAGTTATTAAAAAACAAGGTAGGCGTCTACAAATTAATGAAATCGTGACATTTGCAATGTTAATTGCATGGAAAATGATAAATAAATGATGATAATCATTAGTGTATGGGAGAACTGAATGAGTTGGGAGGGAAATTGCCGGGCGATGGCGATCGTATCTGTCGTCCGTTTAGGTCGGTCAAGTCGGCGGCAGTGGTGGCAGAATTCGAACTGCTGCGCAATTTGCATTAAAATAACACTAAAAAAATTGAAATAAAAGTGCTCCACTTACTTTTTGTTATATATAATTAATTGGAGGGGATATAGAAGTATTTCCACTCTCACACCCCCATTTCAAAATGACCGAGAAGGTTGTCAAAAAATGTCGGTATACATATGTCTCTATCGATTTAAGGGGGAATTCGAATCGATCTATCCCCATAAAATTCAACCCCATTTTTACCCCTCACTTCCCCTTATTCAAAATGATCGACACGTTCATCGAAAAATGGCAAGAGACAAATGTATAAATCGATGAAGGGGGGAAATTTGAATCGATCTGTCCCCATAAAATTCAACCCGATTTTTACCCTCACTACCCCTCATCCAAAATGACCCACACGGTCATCGAAAAATGTGAAGAGACGAATCTATAAATCGATGAAGAGGGGAAATTCAAATCGATCTATCCGTATAAAAGGCAACCCCATTTTCTCCCCTGACTACCCCTCATTCAAAATGACCCACAGGGTCATCGAAAAATGTCAAGAGACGAATGTATAAATCGAATTAGGGCGGAAATTCAAATCGATCTGGGTGTATCAAATTCAACCCCATTTTCAACCCTCACTACCCTCTTCCAAAATGATAAACGGGGTCACCAAATAACGTCTGTATAGATATATGTAATATTATAAATATTAATAATATTAATATTATCTAATATTTCGAAAATCGAGATGTCTTTTTTTGTGGCACAGCGTTTAGCCACTCTCCTGATGAACTCCTCAATTAAAATTATCTAATATTTCGAAAATCAAGATGTCTTTTTTTGTAGCATGGGAAAGGCCAGACATTTTATGGTCACCACTGTGGCATTCCCGAGTAAAAGTCCAAGGGATTCGATGCTGGTTGCTGGAGTTGAGAACGGCCATAAGTATTTCAATGAGAACACTTGGGTGTTATTCGACTCATCGAATAAGGAAGGGAGGTGAAGCACCTTCCTCTTTGGTACCAAAAAACATCCCAAAAACTCAGAGAATTGAAGTGTCTTCATTACAAAAATGACGTCATCGTGATGTCCATTTCCCCGATTTTTTCAAGATTTTTTGGAAGTTTGAGGATTCAGGATGACGGCTACGAATTTTGATTGACATAGATCGATTGGAAATAACTCCCTGAATAGATAGACATATATGTATACACACGTTATTTGGTGACCCCGTCTATCATTTTGGAAGGGGGTAGTGGAGGGTGAAAATGGGGTTGAATTTGATACACCCAGATCGATTTGAATTTCCGCCGTAAATCGATTTATACATTCGTCTCTTGACATTTTTCGATGAGCGTGTGGGTCATTTTGGATGAGGGGTAGTGAGGGTAAAAATCGGGTTGAATTTTATGGAGATAGATCGATTCAAATTTCTCCCCTTCATCGATTTATACATTTGTTTTTTGACATTTTTCGATGAACGTGTTGGTCATTTTGAATGAGGGGTAATGAGAGGTGAAAGTGGGGTTGAATTTTATGGGGATAGATCGATTCGAATTTCCCCCTAAATCGATTTATACATTTGTCTTTTGACATTTTTCGATGACCGTGTGGGTCATTTTGAGTGAGGGGTAGGGTCAGGGGTGAAAATGAGGTTGAATTTTATGGAGATAGATCGATTCGAATTTCCCCTCTTCATCGATTTATAGATTCGTCTCTTCACATTTTTCGATGACCGTGTGGGTCATTTTGGATGAGGGGTAGTGAGGGTAAAAATCGGGTTGAATTTTATGGGGACAGATCGATTCAAATTTCCCCCCTTCATCGATTTATACATTTGTCTCTTGCCATTTTTCGATGAACGTGTCGATCATTTTGAATGAGGGGTAGTCAGAGGTGAAAATGGGGTTGAATTTTATGGGGATAGCTCGATTCGAATTTCCCCTCTTCATCGTTTTATACATTTGTCTTTTGACATTTTTCGATGACCGTGTGGATCATTTTTAATGAGGGGTAGTGAGGAGTAAAAATCGGGTTCAATTTTATGGGGACAGATTGATTCGAATTTCTCCCCCTCATCGATTTATACATTTGTCACTTAACATTTTTCGATGAACGTGTTGGTGATTTTGAATGAGGGGTAATGAAGGGTGAAAATGGGGTTGAATTTTATGGGGATAGATCGATTCGAATTTCCCTCTAAATCGATTTATACATTTGTCTCTTGACATTTTTCGATGACCGTGTGGGTCATGTTGAGTGAGGGGTAGTCAGGGGTGAAAATGGGGTTGAATTTTATGGGGATAGACCACTGATCTCTATATAACTGGATAGACTATCCCTATGCCCCCACTACGCTGACACTGAGGCAGTACTGTACGACAAGCAGCGCCTCAGAATAGTAGCTCGAGTACTACCGTGCCCTTGACTGCGCATGCGCATCACCCAATGGAGGGTGATCTCGGATAAACATGCTTCTCCCCT